CTAATTGTTGTGTTGGAGAAATTTTTAAAGAATCTCAAATATTTAAAACTACTTCTAATCGCGCCATCCGACTTATTAGTTTTTTTTATTCATCGGTTTATTTTACTCAAAAGCTTCGCGATAAACAATTAAAGCTTTATAAAAAATTTATTGCTTTTATAAGCCCATATTCAACACGTTGGAACTAATTAAAGTAGGATACATTCTCATATAATATTGAATATTTTGATCTAAAATGGCTTTGATATTTTTTTTCAGAAGATACAGTTTTTCAGAATTAACAAAGGAAAAGAAAGTTAAATTAATGATCTGAGGTAAGTCAATATCTATAATACTACCACATTTGATTGAGCAATTAGTATATTTAAGTATTTTTGTGAAGCCAATATTAAAAAAACATTCATTACATTTTATAAATGTGTTGTTCTTTTTTAAAAGAGATCTAGGATCATTGAATAGTTTGTCTGTGAAAAATGTTGAAAAATAACTTATCTTGAAGTTTTTTGATTTTGTAAATTCTCAAAAATAGTTTGTCTAAGATATGGTAAGTTATAATAGTTGTTATTAGAGGGTCTATAGAGCAACCCAATCTATTAAAGTATTCATATCATGTGAAGAAGATGATTTATATCCAACAGGTAAAAATTTTTGAATGCAATATTAGTCTTTAAGTTTGTTAGAATATACAGAATTAATAAAAACTATTTCTTTGAATAGTATGGCCCATCAAGGGTGAGTTTGATTAAGGTGATTACTTATAGTCTGCTTAAGAGACAAATCATTAAGTTCTGACAAAAATATGTCATCACAAATCAGTTGTTCTAAAAAAAGAAGTTATTTATTTTTTAATGAGCTAGTCCAGTTTTTCCTCTAAGGCAGTAGTAATAGTAGAGACATATCATCACCTTATATTTTAAAACATCTATTGAATAATAAAGTCTATGAAAAGGAAAGAATTGTTTTAAGCAGTGTTGTCATGACTGGACAATGGACAATGGACAACACTGGACAAAAAATGCTGTCCATTATTCATTGATTAAGCAATAGACATATAATTTCAGTGTCTATTGTTGTCCATTGTATTTACTTAAATTTATAAATATACAATTAATAAAAAAAATTAAAATTTATTAAAAAACACTA